TTATTTTTGTATGGTAATATTCTGTTTAACGGTGAACATGGAGAGCAGATTAATAGTGCTAAGGCTGAAGAAATGTTTATATTATCAAAGAGTCGTGGCAATGAAAGAGCGGGTGAGGTGTTAAAAAGGATTGAGGCTGCGAAAGCAAAAAAGGCCGCTGTGCAAAATTTATAGAAAGTGACTAACATCGTTGCATAAACAAATTGTACTTTAGAAGTATCTTTCAATTTTGGATATAACGATAGATGGATATTTTGTTTTATTTATTCATTGATCGTGTGATTTTGTAGTTGTACGTAGTTATTCATATATTATCACGTGTCTCTTAAAAATACGCGCTATCTTTGAATAGCATATTTATTAAAGTTCTACGGTAAGTCTAAATTAAAATTTTCAGTCATTTTATTCTTCAAGTTCTATATTAAACTACCGGTCAAATTTTCAAAAAAAGCCCTAGCGTTAGATGTCTATTAAATTAAGATTTTTAGAATATAAAAATTTTTCTGTAACACATAATAATAAATTATGAAGTCATTATTATTGTTTTTTATGTCACCAAACTACTTTTCAAAAATTTCAACGTTATTTTTGATATATAACTTACTAAGAATTGAATTTTTGGTGTTTTATCGAATACTTCGCAATTTATTCTGGTGAATTTCTTGAATTCCACCATCTAAACCAATAAGTTGAATATGTGATTCTTGCAGTTGAGTATTCATATTTGGATGATCTTGATATTATAGCGATTAAATAACCCTTCTAGTTGTTGTTGATGTACTCAATGTTTGAAATTTCGGAGCAAAAGTGTGTTCTCAAGAGAACCCAATAGCTTGAACCAGTGTTCACAAAAATTTTTTATAGTTCTCTATACAAATTTAACGAAAAATTGAACTGCACCAATATTTATAAGCATCAGATAGTGATAGGAATCGATTCTCTAGAATCGATTAATTTAGAATCGATTAATTTTGCAGAATCGATTAATATTTGAGAATCGATTTTAAAGACAAAATCGATTAATAACGATAATGCATACATAAATCGTGTACGTGATACATGCAATTGGAAATTCATGTGAAAAACATGCAAATGATATAGCGCACGACAAACTGCGTTCTCTGTCATTCAACAACAATGTTAATATTTATAATAACCAAGATAGTGATACTAATACCAAAAGTAACTGATATTGATCGGATTCTCAATCTGATGACAATACTTCAATTGATTCTATACCTAATGATTCGAGCTAAAGTACTTTTCAAAATCCTAAATACATGTATTTCGGATTTGAATTATCATATATCGATATACATATAATGATAACGATAAGTCCTAAAGTGTCCTAAATACGTATCCTAAATTCTAATTTAGAAATTTTTTTGCAGATCATTTGGTGCTAAATACTTTGGCCCGAATCACTATCTACACCACGTAGTATCTCTACGAATTCAACTAATAAAACCATAATTTCAACTAATCAAATTATAATTTTCAATTAATCAAAGTACAACTTCAACTATTCCAACGAAAATCAACATACAATGAAAAACAAAACTAAGACCAGTTATGTCCTCGCTGTCATCGTCGTTATTGCTGTCATCGTCATACTTACTTTGTGTTCGAGAATCGATTTTGGGTTTAAAATCAATTCCTGCCATATCAGTTCCATCTGAATGTCTATTTTCAGATGTGAGAAATTGATTAAATATATATATATATAGCTGTTTGATAGAACAGATCTACTTCAGAATCGATTCTCAAATTGAAAATCGATTATCGTTATTTACGTACAGGATCGACATTACGGTACACGGAATTTCGCCTCCTCTCCGACTTGGTGTCTTTGCCATAATGATGGTACAAAGAAATCTCTTAAGATGTTTGGAAAATATAATTGGTCATAAGTTTCATTCCGAAGACAGTTGGAGGCCAGAGGGAAAAGGTGCCTCATTGTTTTTTATATTCATGAATCAGAATAGTAGTGCACTCGATTTTTACTTTGGTGTGCGAAAAATCAAACAAATAGAGAACACTGTTTCTCAACTCAAAGTGCACAATCCCGGATCCTTGTTCTCATGAGAACGCGAGAACACCAGATTTCAAACACTGGATGTACTAAAAGCCTCAAACTCTTCAAAAAAAAACTTTGTTGTTTTAATGCTTCCAATAATCCAAATATTTTTGAATTTACATTGGATAAGTCTTCTTTTAAGAATTCAATATAAGAAATTTCTTGCAAAGTTGATTTATTGATCAAAAAATACATTTAGAAATGCACGAACAAATTCTGGTCCATTTTTTCCACCTAATTGACAAACACATAATGGTAAGCGAATCCAAGTTTCCATTCATTTGATAAATCCAGTTGATAAATCCAGTTGATGCATTTTTCCACTCCAACGTGAAGTGATTCACAAAAGTTTTCAAAATCTACTATGCTTAATTCATGTTCACCATCAGCTAATTCTTCTCCAAATAACTCATAAATGTTCTTTGAACACTTTTTAAGTTTACCAATCCATATTAATATTTCATTTGCCCTTTTATGAGCATGATTGCCTGGTGGAAGAGTAGTCATATTATTTGATTGATGGATCCATGGAATTATTTTTTATCAGTGCATCGACGCATAATACATGTATATCTCCTCTAATAGTCAGCATTGTCGATCAACATTTGAATAGCGATAGTGATGATGCTTAGTTGAGATATTTAGTATCAATAGTAATAGCAAAAGCTATTTTAAACAAAATTGAATTGCTATTAGAGAAAATTTTTCTGTACATGATCACAATACAGAACGTATTTACAATACGTACGTAATACGTTAGCTCCCTAATTTTTCTTTGGAAACGAAAACAATGGAAGTATACTCGCCGCGACTACTTTTAAATAGCAGTTATACACTGTTTCACATGATTCTTTTGTTCTTTAAATAAAGTCTGATTTCCATCGATTCATATTTCCGTTCATTGCAAAACGATGTTTCAACGTTTAAAATATTTTTTATGAAACATCTAAAAATTCAAAAAAAAAGTTTTTTCCTATTTCTTTTCATTATTTATAATTGAAAAAATTAGTAACGATGTAAATATTTCCTATATAAAATCATAAGATTCTATGAAGGAAAGTATATTATCTGAAAACTACACTAATTATTGTTACTTATACATTCTAATAAAAATCAAAACTCATTTCGCCAAATAAACTTCATTACTACTCACGCTACGTTACGAATCCATACACTAATAAAACTTCACTTATCGTGACAAATCTAACTAAAATTCCTTAGCATTCGGATCCTTCAAATTAGTTTTTGCCAGAATCTCGGTAGCCTTAAAAGCAAAAGGAGCAATAATCTTCCACTGATACACAAGAATCTCATTCTCGATCGTCTCAACGCTAGTATGACATTCTAAACCATGAAACTCCAACTGAAGATTATGTTTGATAATATCCCCGAATCGACTCGTAATCGGACACCCCGTATGCACAAACGGCTCCACCAAAGACCTTGTCCTCCCGAAATTCGGCTCGATCGCAAAAAATTCCAACTTCAAAAACGGGAATGTGATACAAATTTTCGTGCGGAAATTTTTACGAAGTTCCTCGATCACGCTTTTCATCATCTCGGTGAAATCTTCCACTAGTTTCGCGGCATCTTCGATTGTTGCTGGGTTGTTTTCAATGTGATCCAGAACCGGATGCGGGATTTGAAAGTAGTCGAATTCGATTTCTATCTCTTCGCGTGTTACGTGCGGTGTTGAAGTTTCATTCCATAGGAAGCGGCCTGTGCGGTAGAATTCCATGATGTAGTGGAATGTGCGTGCATTGCGGTCAAAGAAGTATTCGTTGTCTTTTGTGGGTTTTTGTAGCTCTTTGTTGCGTTCTTGAAACATTGTGCCTAGTAGAGTATCGGGATAGGCTGTGAAAGTGCTTGGATATGTTTCATACTATTATCGATGAAATTAAAATTCATATTAATATTTTTCGTACATTTTCCAAAAAATTTAGTATTTGAAAAAATTTGACTGCCTTCGTTCCGCCAACATTTAAAACAATAGTATCAGTAGTTTCAGAAAGTTTCGTCATTTTTTTTAACAAATTTTTTTTCGCGCGTTACGTCGTCTCCAAGAGCAGAAAAAATAACAGGAGATATATCGATATCGATATTATGGTGTGGTGAAACAGTTACATGTATCGTGTACATGTACGCACGTATTTAATTTACTACAAATGGTGTAACGTAGACAAAGCCCCCTAAACAACAAACAATTAATAAAACAGTCCACTCCACCACCAATTTATTTTGATATAACGATAACGATAACCTATATAGAAAATTTAAAGCGGAGGCTTAATCATTATCGTTATCGTTATTAAAAAAGAGGCCATTGTCCCTGTATTCCAAAAAAAATGTACATGCACATACATGCATATAACACACTCCGCAAAATAACATCGACATACATGTAGTTGTTTGTGTTTTGGCGGTAATAGCGATAGTAACAAACGCAAAAGGAATAAATACGGTAAATATAAATAACTTTCACTGAGGAAAAGCATTTTTAACAAATAAAAATACATACGCATTAATAATTTAATTGTGTTACTATCACTATGTCTTTAGAAAACGCGAAAGTCGAGGTATGTATTTGTTCTATTAACTCATATTTTTTTTTATTGCTTTTTATCAATTAAAAATATTTCTTTAGGAAATATCATTGGTAATTCATAAAGCGAAACAAAAAGCTATATCTGATACGAAAGAGCAAAATGATGTTGTTAGTGATGTTAATAGGATTGGAGACAATGCTAAAAGAAAAAAGCGACGAAGACAACCACGGTAGGTTATTACTGTTTTGATCGACTTTGAGTCATAATATATAAACATCATCACTGACTGCTCCTCACAAACAAATAAAATGCGAGATTTTCTATTACAAATTCTCAAACTAACTCAACGCTTACCCACAATATCATCAATATGCAGAATCATCTCAATAGCAAATCAGCAAAATATTCTCACTGCCACCCCAATAGTAAATCAGCAAAATATTCTCACCACCACCCCAATAGTAAATCAGCAAAATGTTCTCGCCATAGACTGCGAGATGGTCGGTATTGGCATAAACGGGAGAAAATCGGCACTTGCGCGTGTGAGTATTGTTGATTTTGAGGGGAACGTGGTGATGGATACGTTCGTGAAGCCGGATCAAGTCGTGACAGATTATCGTACTTTTGTTAGCGGGGTCACAAAAGAGAGCCTTGTTGATGGTAATTTGTAATGCATGATTTTATTTTTTTTTACTGTTTTTTATTGATTGTGATTATTATTACAATTTTGGAAATTTAGCTCGCGACTTTAAATCTGTTCAGAACGAAGTCAAAGATATTTTATATGGAAAATTTGTAATTGGACATTCAGTTTTTTTCGATTTTCAGGTTAGAACTATTTTACTTATTATCTATCGATTTTCATTCATTCTTCAAATTAAGTTCACACCACAAAAACAAATAGGCTCTAAAATTCACTCATCCCCGCCGTCTCACACGTGACACGTCCCTCTATGAAGGTTTCATAAATCGCTGTCCACTCCCACATCGAACTCCATCACTGAAACTACTAGCTGCGATAATCCTCAACGAGAGAATCCAAGATGGGGAACACGATTCAATTGAGGACGCAAAAACTGCGATGAAATTGTATCGTAATGTGCAACAAGAGTGGGAGGAATGGATAAATGTGCATGGAGTTAATGCTGCTTATAAGAATAGACGTATTGGATGTTTTCGGTGTGGGTCGTTGGAACATGTGGTTAAAGAGTGTCCTGTCATTGTGAGGCAGCAACAGAAAAAGAGTAGTAAGGAAAAGATAGCAAGATTGGTAAAGAGTGTGTGTATATAATTTAATTAGAAAACTAGACGCGCGATAATCAATAAAAAATTGAATTCCTACGATGTAGTTCCAAATAAGACCATGCTTTTTTGTATGCAAAGTTTCGTCGATATTGTTAACTAAAGAAGAGCCTTTATTATCGTTGTTACACACAAATATAAGTTCTTTATCATAAAAGGCTTTTATCATTATCGTTATGCGTTCTATTTCATACGGTCGCGGGTAGATAGAGTGAGTAGACTTAATGATCGTCAGTTTCTAATTCCCGATATCGTTCAATATAGCAGTCGAGAGGGGTTTCAGAAGAGAAGTTGGATTGTTCGGGTTTTGGGTAAGGTGATTTGGGGTTCTATATTTATGCGATGGGTTCTCTATCGATAATGTCTTTCCAATTGTTGCTTTTTTCTAGCTAAAAGCCTTTAACTATTCAACCATAAAGCACTTCAATTCCGTTAGCGATATCAATGTCCAATCGATGCCTTTTCTGGATCAAAGGTTCTAACCACATTCAATCACAACGAATTTACAAGTCTAAGTGACTTGGAGAGGAATTGTATGTAATTAACTTTATTGGTATCCTCGAGGACTTTATACATTTTTTTGGATTATAATTTAAGATAATTAAGGTATAATTAAAAATTATTAAAAAATAGGAAACAGGAGAGATAAGAATAGAATTTGCAATATAACACCGCATAGCAAGAGATCGCGGTCGGTTGTAAGAATGATTAATGAAATTGGGCCAGGCGAGCTAAAAATTGTGAAATCAGCGAAATTACGTAGTTCTAACGCACGACAATCGATATCAATTTTACACACACAGAAACATGTCTGATTCGTAGCGTTAACACAAGAAACAATCGAATTCCACACATATTAATAACTAAATAAAACAAAATAAAACACATGGTGAATTCAAAGATGGAATTTAATACTCATTCTTAACAACAAGTACATTTACTACTATCATAAGTACTGCTATTCATGTTATCAAAAACGAATTTATAAAGCTGATTTGGAAATTAGTTAATCCAAGAAATCAACATCTGGCTCCATTAATGGTTTATCCTGGTGAAAGTAAAAGTTTGGCATTGAAGAGATTCCGTCGTCTTTGTTAAAATGCCAATGTGCAGTTGTAGACTTAGGATTTTTTTGACAGTTTCAAACGATAAGTTTCGTCAGAGACTTGAGTTTGAGGTGGGATTGTGATTGCAAATTCGGTCAAATTTGGACACATCTCCAGCCATCTCCATTCAAACCCGTTGAAGTCACACCTTACAAGCTCAAGATGTTTAAAGGATTTAAACTTCTGGGACTGAAATATGTTAATTAGCATTCTTCCAGGTCCGTTTGGAAACACCAATCGAAGATTCAAAGGGCATTGCTGAACAGATAAGAGTTTCTCAAGATAATAGAGCGTTTCTATAACACGGTTATAAGAGTTATCGTAAAGATTGGTATCGAGATGAGATGGAGAAAATGATTCAGAATATTTACTGTGAGTATTTGAAGATGTTACATGCACTATGCCAATACAGAATATCAAAAAATGAAATTTATTTCTGAAAGACGTTACCAAACAACCTCATGTATGGTGCATGCAGAACAAAAATTTTAATTCACAAAATCTAGAAATACATGTATAAACATACCAGCCTGGTGCAATTGTTTGCTAATGTCTTCATGACATTATTTTTTAAAAAGGCGTGTGTATTTCAACGTGAATGAGGGAACGGAATATAGGGGCAAAGCGTAGTGCTGTCCATATTCCATAAAATGTTTCACTATTTGTACCGGTGTTATCCATAACAAAAGTCATCAGACGAATTCCACGATTTGTTAGCATTTGAAGTGTTTCTACAGCCAGTTCTCCTAATTCTGGTAGATTTGTATAATTGAGTTCTTTGAGAAACAATGGATAATCATAAAGCACCGAAGTCTCTTGAACTGCACCCGCGCAGAATTTTCTTTCGTTCCTAGAAGTGTACTGCTTCCTCGAAACAATTCGTAAATTTTTAGTGCAGCCTACTCCTTCTCTTTGTATAACTGAATGGAGCTTTCCAATACATTGGAACGGCGACTTGGTACCATCTCGATTAACTAGAAGTGCCGAAAGTAAATCACGGACACTCAGATTTTCGAGGGTAATAACATCTGCAACTAAGGTTGATTGAATAGTTTCCGTTTTCGTTACCATCGGTATTACAAATCTCTTATCAATGATGGCATCGGATTTGCAAACTACGTACATACTGAACATCGTAATGATTTTCTGTACGCCTATAACGTTAAGCACAATCTTGTTCAGGATAGCCAATTGTTCGATTTCCATAGCGATAGAAAATGAGTTGCAAGTACAAATTAGGAATTTCGTTATCGTTATTACTTTTCCATTTATACGTAGAACGTAGTGTCCAGTTACTGCATAGACTCGGTGTTCAGCTCCAATAAAAATACATGTATATACTTAAATATACGATCATGAAGATCTAGTGTTTTCACTCGAATCCGATCAGTAAATTGCTGCGCAAAATGCAGTAAACTTAAGGCATAACGATAACGATAAACTAATGTAAAAACTGCATGGAAAGCGTGATATTCTATGATCGTGTTGGAGGCCAGGTTGGTGGTGCATGCATGCTAATTGCATAGGTAGTCGTAGGTTTAGTAGAGTGGTGGATGATAAATACTTTGTATCAAGATCTCGAAAATTTGGAAAGTCAATGTTTCACTTTATGATCGAAATATGGATTTGTCTTCAATTCCAGTTATCATGCTCTATTTCTTTAAACTGACATTGGTTAAAGGACCAGATACATAAAAAAGCTTAATTCGCAAATTAAAATCAGTCGAGGAAAGCTACAATGTCACTATTACATATAATAATATGATTAAAGATGCCTTAAAGCAATTAATCAAACTCCTCGCTGAACATGAAGATAAAAAATGGGCGCAAGTGGTGATTCATTTAGATAAATATGCTGCATCAGTGTTAGCTGTCCTTGATAGCATGAGAGACAGATTGAAAATTGCAAATAAAAACCACGAGATGTGAAAGGTTTCTTTGAAGTCATCAAAGCGTTGCAAAGACATATCGAATTTTTATTGGTGACAGGCGTAATGGCAGGCGTCACAATATTTTCACACATCAATTTTTTTCAGGAGCAATATGGTGCATAAAATCTAAAGTCATCAAACATTTGTATTTTACAAAATGTATAAACTTCTTTGCCAAGTAAATACAAATTTAATCCGTGAATATGCACAGAAAGGGGCTATTCTATCATAATCACGGTTTAAATTTTGTATTTACTTTTTAGTAAAGAAGTTTATCCATTTTATAAAATACAAATGTTTGATGACTTTAGATGTTATGACCATATATTGAATAATATCTGCTGGTGCATATCGATATGGCTTTACAATGACGAAATTCAGAAGTTTATTTTATAATGTGTAAGAAGTTTAAGAAAAAATACAATGGCTACTCTTGGAATTACAATACCAAAGTGTACAGTCCCGACGAAATAATGGCGGCCAGTTTTTTTTATTCTTTAAATGTATAA